AAGCAGAAACAGTAAAAATATCTTTACTGAAAAAAACAGAGATTAAAATTGTGAAAAGTGACATTTTGAGGCTGAACTGCTTTCTGTCAGGTAGCAGCCTTTTCCTGCATTAATGGAAAAGAAGGCTGCACCTCCTCAAGCAGAGCCCTGGACTTAGACAACCCTGATACAGACAGCAGTCAAACACTGAATTCTCATCAAAGTTTGTGAGACTTCGGCTTGGGCTTTATCCTAAGCAGGCATTTCAAGCTGCTTCCTGTGGCCTCTTGTCAGGAATCTGTAGACTTTAGTCTTCAAAAAACATATATCTATTTGTGGAAAAACTCATAAGACACTTCTTTTTGAAAGAACTAATCACTCTTTTAAGATAGCCAAGGCATTTGTAGCGTGCAGAAACCACGTATTTGGTGCTGATGTTGTTCTCGTTGCATTACGGATTGGGGAAAACTAATAAATGAATGAACTGTGTTTTCCTGGTCTATAAGAATTTTTGTTCTTCATGTGGGAATAAAAATAATACTTTAGATGTGCACAGTTTAAATTAACAGCCTCAAGAACACTATTTTTTTTAGCAGGAATAAATAAGAAAAATTCTTAAATTTTTAATTTTCCAAAAGCATAAAACATCATGCTCCTTATAGAAAATTAAAATATTGAATTGAACAACTAAAGAAAAAGGACTCTATTCCTTACTTTATCACTCCCTATACCTTAGTATAGAGTGATAGTGAATGCTTTTAATGGCAAACTGACCATTGGCAGCAGGAAATAACTGATTGTTGATAGCTCTCTGTGATATATACAGTGCCCTAGAACATGAACATATCATTTACAGAACACATTAATCCTGCCAAATGTGAGTATACACAGATGAGAATATATTTGCAATCATACTGGTCCATCAAATGTGCTGTTTCACAGCTGATTTCAAGAAGACCTGTTTGGTTTCATTTCGATACAAATATATTCAAATACCAGAACATAGTTCTTGAAAAGTACCCTTTCTTTGAAAAGTATTCTTTTCTCAAATTTCTACTGTGTCTTTCCCTCTGATATTCAGTGGTGGTTCTGTACACATGGTATTTCTTCCTGTCTCATTGCTAAATAGAGAATATATGCAGTTACAAGTTACATGCAAGTACTGAAAAATAATTTAAAAAAAAAGCATGCAAATAGGTTGAAGTGCCACTGGTCATAACCATATTTATGAACAATAAATCTAACCTCGTCCCACAGTTCATATCATATGAACAGTGTTTCCTTCTTCCTTCATATAAAGATTCCCCCAGAAATGAGCCCACTCTCTTCACCTCAGGACTGAGAGGTGGCCAACAGCAGCACCCTCCTTTCCTCTGCAGCCCAGTGCTGAAGCAGAGTCTGCCTTCCTGGGCTGGTTTCAAAGCCAGTGGTCTTGAACGTAGTGATTTAGCACATGGTGTGTATAGGGGAAAGCTGTAGTTTGAACACAGGGCTTTGATCTCAGCTCTTTACACAAAATAAACTGTATAAAATATTGTGCACAAGAAATCCAGCTGAAGACTAATACATATGAATACATATTAATATATGACTCCTCAAAATCACGCTTGTCTTAAACTCTTGCAGAGTAGAGACTTTTCTTAAGCATTAAAAAAACTATTCAGAAAACAAGCATTATTGTGTTCCTCAGAAAGTATCTTATCTTAGTATAGTGGTTTCTTCACATGTCATGGAACTGGCCCCTCCAGGTAACATTACAGCATGAGAAAGCTCAGTCAGGTCAGTGGCAGGAGGATGGGTTTTGCAGTTTCCTCACAGAGTTTTGTGATAACAGAATCTCAGATATTTACTGCACAAAATAGCATTTGGTGTCTGTTTTTGGCAGGAGCTTGTAAATCTAAGTACAGTGAGAAAGCTCTTAGCCAACAACTTGTTTTCCTTACTGTTCTAGCACAAGATCAAAGCACATAAGCACACAGACTATTTTAGGTTTGTGTTTTGGTTGTAGTTAGGCTACCAGAATTTTTTCTTTTAAGTCAAATACTCAGAAAGTGATTGTTTGGAATGGAACCTGATGATAATCTTTCAAAAAAATATTCTCTTTGCATAAAATCCTGAAATACCTCTGTATACCCATTTTAGGAAAGTCCCAATTTTTTACTGCTAAGCTTTAAAATAATTCATTTTAAAAATAATTTCCCAAGCAGCACAAGATTTTGGCTTTTTAAAAAATACAGCAGGTTGAATCCTCTAGGAAGCTGGCTTTAGTTTGATGGCTTTCTTGAAAGAATTATTATTCTCACCTATTTAGTTTGGTTTTTTTTCTTTTAGTCTGACAGTTTAAGTGAATCATCTTACTTCTAATAGACAAGACTGAAACAATGCTTAAGTCACACCTTTTTGGTTAAATAATAGAACAAACCTTAAGTCCTAATTTGCCATTCTAGGACATCAATATTCTACTCAATGACAGGCAATTTGTCTGACTCCATCCAATATTTACCAGGGAAAGGTAGCAGTGAGACTCAATTTTAAGAAGTGATTATGTTCTAATTAAATAACTACTAATAATTAGATTTAAGTTACATTTGGCAAAATAGAGAGAGATCTATATTTGATACATTATGCACTATACTTTTGAGTTCATTTACTTAGTATTGATATGGATGTATACATTTGGACAGTCACAATAATGTTGTCAGACTTGATTTAAAAAGCTGTCTGAAGGGTCCAGATTTTACACCGATTAAGAAGGCAAGAGTCATCTCCGAACTCTGATTTTAGTCTAGCACTTATTCTAGTGTCCTTTTTGCTCAGTCCACCTCCATACCACTCCTTCACACACTAGCTGTATTTTGAGCACATGGATTAAAAGAAAACTGAGTGTCCGGGTCTTCTAAATGAAAAGTCCCCCCACAGGCCCTTGACTTGGCAGTGAGTGCTCAGACCTGGCAGTTCCTGCTCTAGTACAGAATTTTCTTTATCAGTGAGATAATGAGCTAATAGGAAAACACTCCCCCCATACACAGCCACAAATACATATGTACAGTAATAAATGTACAAAACCATGACCTACCTTTCTTCTAGGAGTTTTTCAAATTCATTTTGAGTTTTTTCCATTTTTTAATATAGATTAGAAGATAGATAGATTATAGATTTTTTAATATAAATTAGAAGATAGGTCATGGGAAAAAATAAGAGATTGTATCAAATCCTAAAATTCCATCAAAGAAATGTTTTATATTGGGTGCTAGTTTTCTCAGGAATTCACTAATTAAGGTTTTTACCCCTGGCTAGAATATGCTAGGAGAATCATGAAGGAAAGCAAAATGTTATCAATGTTATAATACTACTGCTATAAAAATATATTTATATATAGCTTTAAACAAGCTGGTTTTTTAAATATGTGGATTCATGCAGTTCAAAAGAGTTCTGGGTTTTTTGGGTTTTTTTATAACTACGATATATTATTTCAGGATAAAAATAATTTGAAAAAATTAATGTGTTTTTCTAAGCACCAGAACATTACTAGATATGTAATTACTAGTCTTCTAAATCATCACCTCAGAGAATTTAACTACCTATATGTTTCCTTCTTATGTCTTTAAGAAAGCATCCTTAACATGACCCATAATACAGCTCCCTCTACCCAAATCTTACACCATTGGAGAGAGTGAAATTAGCACTTGTGTCTAAAGGAACACAAGGAATTAAAAGATGAAACAGAAAGAACTTCCAGATGGGAACATGTGATAAAAGACAATGTGGCAATACATTGACATTGACATTGTCCTTCTTTTTCACTTTATCCATCTTTTATAACACTTATTTTTGCATTTGCTTGTTCACATATATCTTTTTTCTTCTTTTTTAATGTGTGATTTAATATTTGATAGATAGGAAAAAATTATTTTAGAGTAAAAAAGCCATGTTTTCTTTGAGCTTAAGCATACAGACAACTAGGGAAATCATGGGAGCTGAGAACCCTCTTGTAAGCAACAAGATTTATGCCAAAATATACTAAGATAAATTTATAAACATCTTTCTGGTCTGATAAAGAATGCATGTTTTTAGAACAATCACTTCTGTGTTTAAATATTCTTCACAAGACTTTTTTTACATAAAAAACTTGAAGTTTGTTGTGAAAATACCACATTTGTGCTCAGGGGCAAATTATTATGTTGGACTGGTTTATCACACAAAAGGTGTCAGGAAAACATTTCACACTGGGCAGTGTCCTCATGCAAATTGAGTCCTTTGTGATAATTTATTATGATGGAATTCCAAAACACCAGTGTCTGATCTGAGCTTGTGGGCACAGAAAGCAGAACACTGTGGCTTCAAAGACAACGTGTGTTCAGATAGAAAACAGCCTGTCCCATTTTTGTTTTCTATGGCAGTTCTATCTGCTACAAATAAACAAAGTTGTTCCTGGCGCGGGTTATCAGCATAACCAGAGATTGTAATATTGAAATGCATTAAGCATAAAACCTGGGGTTGCTTTCTCTTTCTTCAGGCTGAGGTTGCAAAGAAATGCAAGGACAATTTTGCATTTCAAAATACTTACAGTCAAAATTAGTATTGCCTGATTATTGGTGGACAAGTTTTACGTACCAAAGTCAAGTATTTTGATATGTAAATGATGTTATCTAGGAGCACTGAAAAACTTGACTTGGCCTCTGTGTGGTCCACTTACTGCATCAGAGGCTGCAGATCCTAACTCCCACTACCTAAGTTGGTGCCTAAATGTCAGTTGCATCCAGCTAAAAAAAATTAAAGTAGATGCATCTGAGATGAAAAATTAATCATAATATGATGATGCAAGTTTTAATATGCAGAACAATCTACAGAATCTTCAGAGTACTCTTGGCTATCAAACCCCACTGACGCCCAATTAACAATGTGAATAGAAGGTACAGCTTATAAAATACCTACAGGAATAATATTATCAATGGTCTCTACCTTAGTGAAATCTGAGCAGTCAAGGATTAGTATTACAGTGTCTAATTCTTTTGACATACCCTCTATGTGGTGTGAATCCTGGAAAAACCTATGAAGATTTGATGTCAGCAGGCTTTTCTTCTACTGCAGATCCCTTGCTTCTCTTAACAAGATTAATGAGCTGAACCTCTGGAGTGAAGGTGCATAACAATTTTGTAGGAAGTCCAGGAACTCTTTTCAGACAAGAAGATTCTGCTAACAGAACAAAATTTCAGTAAATAAAGTGCAGAGTAAAGCTGCTATGCTACAACAGACACAGTTGCTGCAGCTAAGACAATAACTATTTACACAGTTCAAATTCTTAGCTGTCAACAATTTTGATTCCCTCATCAAAATATATACAGCATTTTTATCCTTCAAAGGAATGTGGTGATAACTGATGAGAGAGATTACAGCAGTAAAATCATAAAAATGCCATGTTTACAGGTAATGAAGTGTACCACGAGCAAATGCTGCTATTTGAACATACATACATACATACATATATACATATACAGATATACACCAAGAGAAAGAGAGATTTGGAATATTTTTTATAGCTTTCTATCACTGAAGTGGCTATATTTCACAAGTTGAGGAAATTATTTAATTAAGAATAGGACCACTGATTGGAAATATTAAGAACCAGGTTTGTAACATTAGTTTGCTTGGAAACAGTGATACAGTGACAGTGTAAGATATTGGCTCAATGTATCACAGAACTATCCAAGGGCCAAGATGTATTTCATTCAACTAATAATACTGATCTATTGCTTATTGTTGGGAGTTAAATATCTTGTGTTTGGAAATAGAAAAAAATGGCTGAAGGCTGGATCTATGTTTTTAGAGACTCTGAGACAGCAACTACTGTAACTATCTTTTTCTGATGGATAAATGTCATTTTGAATTTGGACATTGGGAACTACCAGATTGTCCTGGGTATTAAAAGGTTTGAGCAGGATCCAAGTGTCAGATTTGGTTCAGACTTGACGCAGTCCAGAGAGAAATTTTGATGCATTTATTCTATGGGAAACATTTCACTTCCTCTTCATTTAGGGTTTTTTTTTTTTCCAGAATAATTATTTCTTTATTTCTCCCTTGAGTTTTAGAAAGATGGGCTTTGAACTGAAACAGTGTCAGGTCACATCTCCCAGTTTCTGATGATTAACTTTGCCTATTAATCTACCAGTTCATAATCAGCATTGGGGAGGCTTGTTGCTGTCTATATTTGCTGTGATTTAGGCAATAAAAATAGGGGAGGTAAAAAAATTTGTTATTGTTGGTCATGATCCACGTACCTATTTTCAACTGAGGTGCTCTTACTTTGGGAAATCATGAGATTCCTTGAATTTTTTACTTCACTAGTGGTTGCTAAATTGCATTCTGGACAATAGAACTTGGGATTCTGGTTCCAAAATTTGGCAAAGGTCAGCTTTTATGGTCATCTAGTGTTTCCCCTCTGGACAGGAAGTGTTTCCTCTGTCTGATTTTATTAGGGGGAGGGGAGAGAAAAACCTTGCATATTTCCCCTAATCCTATCACACACTAATTCACCTCATTCATACTGACTCCACCAATACTGCTTTCCCCATTTCCTGTGTCACTTAGCAACAACCATCCCTCCCTTTTCCACTCCCCCATCCATCCTTTCATTTTTTTCCTCCTTTGCAATCACGATTTCCAGGCTGTTTAGAAAAATGAGGATGCTCAGCAGCATAGGGCAAGCTTTTCTTTCCAACCTCCTTTTTTATGCCTGCCAAATCCTTCTCGCCTCCAAAATGAAAATCCAGGCTGCCTGCATATGTGTAATCAAAGGTTAAAAAGCACCCCGGCTGACACCACGCATGTGTTAATCTGTGCTGCAGCAGAGTGCATCATTTCCACTTTGACCTCAGAGTTAATCTGCATTCAGGCAGAAGCTCCGTTGCTTTATTCTTTCATTCTTTTTTTTTCTCCATTTACTCTTTCTTGCTCCGTTGGCTTTTCTTGCATGTGTGTCAGTGGTTCCGTAAATGCGTGCATGTGCATGTGCTTCTTTCCTTGACTGTTTTTATTCTGTGAATGTCTGTGATTCTGGCTTTTTGTTTGGGTTTTATTTTTTTCCTTTTCTCCCAATTATATTATTTCCCTAGATTTGGAAGCTGCTGCCTGCTGCCTGAGCTGACGTTTTCTGATTATATCTGCAAAGGGCTTGTGCAGATCTAATTTCTGTCCCCCTGCATATTAATTCCCGCAGCTGGGCGCAATGTCTCATCCCACTGACGGGACCTGGTAGGGAGGGGGGAGAACCACTACCAAAAAAAAATTAAAGAAGGGGACGGATCCATCTGCAACCAAGAGAAAAGGGGGGAAAAAGCTGGGGAGGGGGGGTGGGGGGATTGGAATAGAGATGATTCCTCCAAATCCAACAAGCCTGGGGAGCACTGCATTCTTGAATCCTGCATTTTCTCTCAAAATGATGGTGTGGGCACTCCTGTTCCTCTCTCTCATCCAGTGGTAAGATGTGCTTTCTGATTCTGTTGGGGGGTGGGGGGAAGGAGGGCTGGGGGGTGAAGAATCTGTTTGCAAATTTGCCGATCTGCGGTGAGAATGCCGGAGGTTTGGGTAGTGGCATTGCATTCATCTATCTCCTAGCAGCTCTGATCTTGCAATGTTTTATTTCTCTTACAATTGTCGCTCTGACATGGCCAGCGAGGGGAGCGGCGGGCGTGTATGATGGTGGTACATGCCGGGGTGTTCATAGAATTTGGTGCCATATTAATGAAGCCTTTTATCTTTGAATTAATTGCTTGCTCCAATGCACGGAGTTCTAA